GTCCCGCCGTGGTGTCCCGTTGGTGTCCCGTCGGTGTTCCGTCGGCGGTGGGCGGGCGGTGGCTGGGGGTGTCCCGCCTTGGCATCGATGGTGAAGTCGAGAGTGTGATCGATCGCAAGATCGCAAGAATGGGCTGAATAGTGAGATTAAACGTGAGATCGGCAGTGATGTTGATTGTGACATTGGTTGTGAGATCGATCGTGAGATCGATACGAGGTCGATCGAATAATCGATCGTGAGACCGATAGTGAGATCGATACTGAGATCGAAAGCGAAACATATAGTGTGGCCTTCAGTGAGATCGACATTGATATCCATAGTGATATGGATCGAGTGAGAGCGATTTTGTTGGGACGATAGTGGGATCGATCGAGTGGGATCGAAAGAGCGACATTACATCGCAACGCAACGTCGTAACCACGCGTCTCCAGCATTTGTTATCATCACACCCATAGCATCTGCCAGCAGATAGTTCTTTCCCCTCCCAACCTCTGTATCACTTGAAGGGTGGTCGTATGGGTATAGAAGAGAGTGCGCGGAGTAGACAGGCGAGAGAGGGGGAGAGCAGAGGGTGAAGGGTAGAGATCGATGATCAATTGTTGAGGTAGGTCAGGCGATCGCAAACATAGATCAAGAAAACGTGGATTAGCGACGGGTCCCGTTTCCAAGGGGAATCGCGGTTTGACGCCGCCGAACGAGTCGGCACCGGCAGCATTTCGGGGAGGGCACCTCCCCCGATCCATGGATTTGGCGACCGCGCGCCACATCCATGGATCGGTAATCCATGTTTGCGCGCCCCCTACTAGGGAGTGGAGCGTGAAGGACATGTGCCATATTTGCCCTGGCCCACCACCACCACCACCACCACCACCACCACCACCACCACCACCACCACCACCACCCCCACCACCACCCTGGTTGTATGCGCACGAGCAGCAGACTGAGGTTCTACCCCACGCAGCAAGATGTAGGGGAACAAGCAGTGACATAAACATAAAAACTCGGAGGTCCGCGCGGATTTCTCGCATCGGCGCTGGGGCCCCCAGGCGGCGCCTCCGGCGCCGCCCCTGGCGCGCTCCGCGCGCCAGGGAGGGGGGTCCAGCGCCGATCCGAGAAATCCGCGCGGACCTCCGAGTTTTTATGTTTATGTCACCTTTTGTTCCCCCTATGCATACCCCCACAGCCAGCACGCCCCAAGCTCGAGATGTGCCCCTGCGGCCATGCCTCGGACTTTTCGCTTGCTCCTACGCGCGCCTGCCGACCGCACGCGCCCGTGGCGTGGCCGCGGTGGGCGCATGTGGAGCGTTCCGAAAAGGGCCTCTCAAGGGATCCCATAAGAACGGATATCATAAGACCGGTCCCTGAGATTCGACGTCTCGAAAAGTTGACACCTCGTGAAAAAAAGCACGGCTGGGCCCCCAGGCCCCATCTTTCTGCGCCATCTTGTCGAGCCGCATCCATCCGTGCGGGTCCCGGGGCCCGCAGCTGGGCGAAGACGCCTGGCTCGAGAACACATTGAGTCGCCAGGATCTCAGGAGAGGCCCCATCTTCGAGCCGAAGCCCTCTGTGGAGGCCCCGGGGCCCGAAGCCGGGCGAGGACGCCCGGCTCGAAAAATTAACGATTGACCCGCCAGGATCTCAGGGAAGGTCTACCGGCCGAGGCGCGGAGCCTGCCCACCCGGCGGACGGGCGGCTGCCGTGGCCTGGGCACGAGCGAACGCGGGGGCGATACACTGAGGGGGAAGAGGAGGAGGAGGCGGAGGAGGAGGAGGAGGCGGAGGAGGAGGAGGGAGGAGGAGGAGGCGGAGGGGGAGGAGGAGGAGGAGGAGAGGGGAGGAGGAGGAGGAGGAGGAGGAGAGCGGAGGGAGGAGGAGGAGGAGGAGGAGGAGGAGGAGGCGGGGAGGAGGAGGAGGAGGAGGAGGGCCGCGAGGGCTGCAGAACAGGGGCCCGTTCTGCGGACCCGGGCCGGATGGACCCGGGCCAGCAGCTCCCCGAAAGGACGCCCGACCTCGCTAATTATAGGGGCTCGGGGCAGCGGCGGCGGGAGGCTGCCCCCCGCAGAGGAGCCCTGCAGCTGGGGCCGCGTGCCGCCGCGGGCGTGCCCCGCGGCGCCGCTCCTCGGCGACGTCCACACGCCGCCCCGACAGCTCATCGGGGCCGGGTCCAGGGGCAGGCCGGCCGTCGGCGGGGGGGGGGCCTCTCGGCCCAGGGCCCCTCGTCTCGCTCCTCTCTCCTCCACCCCCTCCTCCTCCTCCTCCTCCTCGTCCTCCTCCTTCTCCTCCTCCTCCTCCTCCTCCTTCCATTACGTTAAGCCAACACAAGCCTACGACCTCCTCCTCCTCCTCCTCCTCCTCCTCCTCCTCCTCCTCCTCTCCTGCAGCTTCTGCTCCTCCTGCTCCTGCCTCCTCCTCCTCCTCCTCCTCCTCCTCCTCCTCCTCCTCCTGCTCCTGCTCCTCCTCCTACCCCGCCTCCTCCTCCTCCTCCTCCTCCTCCTCCTCCTTCTCTCCTCCTCCTCCTCCTCCTCCTCCTCCTCCTCCTCCTCCTCCTCCTCCTCCTCCTCCTCCCCTTCATCCCACGTCCCCCTAGAGCCCAAGAGACCCTCCGAAATCGTGGCAGGCATCCCGGCGGGAGGCTCTCCTCTTGATGCTTTTCTCCGCTTCTACAGGGGCCCTTTTAATATTGGGTCTCTGGGCCGTCAATGGGAAACGCCGCGGGACGGAAAAAGGGCGTTCCGGGGGAGGGGCCGAGGCCTCCCCTGAGGTCTTGGCGACCCAATTTCTTCGATCTTCGCCCGGGACCCGCACAGATGCATGCGGCCCGAAACATGGCGCAGATGGGGCCCATGGTGCTTTTCCACGATGTTTCAAAATATTGTCGAGACGTCGGATCTCGGGGTCGGGGCCGTCGAAACATGGCGCGGGATGGTAAAACGGCGGCCCCTGGGAAGGGGTCGAGACCTCTCGGGATCGACGTTATGGCAAAGTCGTGGGCGTCGGGGGTCCCTGGGACCGCTGCGGTGGCGTGGGTTCGCGCGAGGCCTCGGCGCGCGGCGTGCGTGACGCTGAAGTGCGGGCCTTCGAGGTGGGGCGCCCGGCCTCCGCAGGGCCGCCCCTGCGGTCCGATTCGATGCGGCTCGCTTCGGGGACCAGGCCCGCGGTTCCCATTCGATCCGATGCGGCTCGATTCGCCGGCATCGAGACCGGCCGAACACGCCCGGCTCGGAACTACCCTGCGGCGCACCCAGCCCGTCGGCACCAAGGAACCCCCCACTGCGCTGGCTCCCCCAGCCCTCGAGAGCGGCGACGGTCGCGCATCTCGCAGCCCCACGGAGAGAGGCAAGAGGGGAGAGAGCCGAGAGGAGAGCGGGGGGGGGCGGGGGGGGCGAGGGGGAGGAGGAGGAGGAGGAGGAGGAGGAGGAGAGGAGGAGGAGGAGGAGGAGGAGGAGGAGGAGGCGGAGGCCCCACCGCGCGATGCAAGACGAGAACCCAACCAAGGGAGGGCTGGGAACAGAGGCGGCGCCAGGCGCTCAGGATCTCGGGGTGCGCGGTTGTGCGGTCCGCGCGGTTGTGCGGCGGCGGCCGGGGCCCGCGCCGTCGGGGCAGAGCTTTTCGCTGCCTGTTCGCCGCTCCTCGTCTCGGCGGCCCGGCCGTGTGGTTGGGTCGGGCACGCCACCTCCCTCTGCGGGAGGAGCATCCAGAAATGATCAAGCACAGTCTGGAGACGATGTGTCGATTCTGTTTGACATCTGTATATATACACACATATGTACACATATATGTATACATATCTATATATAGTAGTATATCTACATACGTATATATATATATATATATATATATATATATATATTTGTATATAGATATACGTCCCTTTTCTTTTGGCATCCGCCTGTATGAGGACATGCCCGACCTAACTCGATGGCCGGGGCGCCGGTGCAGCGCGGCGAAGACTCGAGGCGCGGAGACCTCGCAAGCGCGGGCCCACACGGGGCCCGTGTGTGGCGCCGCCCACACGGGGCCCGTGGGGCGCCTTGTGCCGCGCGGCGGCCCCGATGATAGCCGACGTCTCGCCACGCTGGCGACACCAAGAAGCATCTCGGCTGGAGCCCCGGACCCCTCCTCCGCGTCCTCCGCCTCCTCCGCCTCCTCCGCCTCCTCCTCCTCCTCCTCGTCCTCGTCCTCGTCCTCCTCCGCCTCCTCCTCCTCCTCCCTCCGCCTTCTCCGCCTCCTCCTCCTCCTTCTCCTCCTCCTCCTCCTCCTCCTCATCATCATCATCATCATCATCATCATCGTTCTGCGCCACTTTTCGGGGGCGGCAAGGAGGGGGGTGAGGACTAGGGGGGGGGGGATATCATGGCGTGGGCCCTCGCACCCCCCCTCCCCCCCCTCTGGAGTGGACCTTGGCTGGTTTGGGCGCCTGTTTTGAGCAGGTGGAGTCCCTCCCATAATGGACGCCCTGTTGCAAACAGCCGCGTTAAGCAGAGGTCCGGAGCCAGACCCTCCCCCTCCCCCCACTTTCTGCCCAATGTCGAAACGCCGAATAAAAAACGCTCACCATATTTCTGCGCCACTTTTCGGGGGCGGCAAAGAGGGGGGTGATGACTAGGGGGGGGGTCGATATCATGGCGTGGGCCATGATCTGTCCCCAGATCTCATGGCGCCTCTTCTTATTTCAGTACGTCCCTGGCCCCCCCCCGCACGGGCCGCGCGCATGCCTCCGGCCATGGTTTGCACCCCCCCTGGCTCGACAAAATGGAGTCGCCAGGATCTCAGGGGACGTGGTGTTGTCAGGGCCAGGGTTTGTCTTTGTTCTCGGCGCAGGAGGGCGAGGAAGCAGGAGCTCGAGGCTGGCCGTGCGCACCGTGCGCACCCGGGCATAACCATGGGGAGGGGGGGAGGGCTTCTTCGAGGGAGGCTGCTTCTCAGCAGGCCTCGGCCCTGCATCTGCAGATGCGCCCCGCGCCCTCTGAGAGGCAGGGCCGCTCCTGGGAGGCCCGCCCACCCGGGGGCGGGGGGGGGGGGGGAAACAGGCGCCACGACACCGTGGCTGCGCGCGGCAGCTTCGCGCTGACCGTGCCGAGGCACGGAGCCGCCGGGCTCTCGGGGAAGCCCTCGTGGCCTTTCGCCCCCCCCCCCGAGGCTCGTGGCGGGCGGCATCTGGGACCCCGACCTCCGCACGCCGGCGGGCAAGCTGGTGCCCGCCGCCCGCTCGGCTCCTGCGCCCTCCCTCGCCTGCCCGCTCGGCTCCCGCGCCCTCTCTCGGCCGCTCGCCCTCCTCGCTCGCCCGCCTCTCCCGCCCTCCTCGCTCGCTCTCGCTCGCCCTCCGCCCCCCCTCTCGCCCTCCCGCCCTCTCTCGCCCCCCGTCGCTCCTCCGCTGCCCTCGCCCTCCTCGCTCGCCCGCCGTGGTTCCTCTGTCCCTCCTCCGTGCGCTCTCGCGCGCGCGCCGGCGTCCTCTCGCGCCCTCCGTCCTCCCTCCCTCGCCCCCCCCTTTTCGGCGCCACGCGCCGGGGGGGGCCCAGACCCTAGGCCTCCTATAGATGGGGTCCGCGTAGCATGGGGGCGAAGGACCGCGCCGCATCGCCGATGCATCGACGATGCGACTCGATGTGGAGCCCGATCTCCGCCGTCGTCGGCGATGCATCGCCGACGTCGACGATGCGTCGCCGGTGCGCCCCCGATGCATCGCAGTGCATCGCTGATGCGTCGCGATGTGTGGTCGATGCGGCGCGATCCTCCGACCCCGTCTACTCCGACCCCATCTAGGAGTGCTCTAGCTCCTGCGTCTTCTCTTGCCCTCCGTCCCCCCCCCCAACCCCCGGAGGCGCCACGCGCAGAGGGGGGCCCGGACCCCCCCAAGTCATGAAAAAGTCACGAAGGACAGTTTTTGTCTGCATTTTCTGGTTCTGGGGGCCATATACCGGGCCTCGGGACCGTCAAGAAACGACTCAGGACCAACACTGGTCCCGGGAAATGGGTCGAGGCCTCTGAGGGTCGACGTCATGAACAAAAATCATGACGTCGGGGGTTTGGGGGTAGGGGGAGGGGTCGAGGGAAGAACAACGGGGACCATGACCAAGATGTCGCGGGATTTTGTCGACGCGATCTTAGTCGTGGTCCAAGTCGGCCGCTGCGGATTCGCGAGGAGGATCCGCGAAACGACGCTGACCAAGATTGACGGTGACCAAGATCGACACGAACGCTCAGTCACGGTCATGGTCTCTGCTTCCCCCCCCGCCCCCAGGGGGGAATTCTTCTCAGAAGCACCCCTGCCTCTTCGAGGGCGCGGGCCTCATCTGCAGATGTAGGGCCGAGGCCTTCTGAGAAGCAGCCTCCTTCGAAGAAGCCCTCCCCCCACCCTCCATGGTTATACCCCCAGTGCGCACGGCCAGCCCCAGGTCCCTAATTCCTCGCCCTCCCTGGCGACTATTTTTTTTTCGAGCCGGACGTCTTCTCCGCGTTCCGGGCCGCAGGACCCTCACGGAGGAATGCGTTCTAAACTTAAGTCGGCAGGTCGGGCCTGTCCCTCTACAGGCGGAATATTCAAAAATAGTTCGAAAATAGTACGGGAACTATTCTTTCATTATTTTTTGATCATTTGGGAGTATTGTTTGAGTATTTTCATTTTCATTACACGCAGGAATGCGTTCTAAACATGGGCTCCAGCCGTGAATTCTCACTACGCTTCAACTTTGTTCGAGACGTCGGATCTCAGGGGAAGGCGAAGCCTCACTTAGGTCACCGGTCTTGCATCCGTGGTCATCAGTCTGGGTGGTTTGGCTTGACACGTCAGCCGAAAAAGGACCCCCTTGCCCCCAACGCGTCGGGCCTCTTCACTGCGATCCGCATGGTCAGGGGTCCTCTCGTTGCTAATCATCCCAGGCGCGTTCCCCAGACCCCCGACGTCATGATTTTCGCAGGGCGTGCAACCCCAGACCCAGCCCTGATGGTCCGCTACCGAAAATTTCCGGTCGCGCTCCGCAGAGATCGGTCGCTACCGAAATACCGAAATGTAGCGCCCAATACCGGTATCAGAGCGTTCTGAAATCCGCTATTTCAACGCCCTCAAACGAAGATCCGGTCGCTACCGAAATTCGGGGTGCGTCGAAATCGCTACCGAAAATTTCCGGTACCAGACCATCTGGGAGACCCCCGACGTCTGGGCCCCTTCCCGGGGACCTTTTCCCCGGGAGCGGTTTCGCATCCTGAGTCCTTTTTTCCACGGCCCCGAGGCTCGGCAAGGGCCCCCCCCCGGAGGCCGAAAATGGCGAACGGCAGCTCGTCGTGCGTTCTGTCACGACGCGAGGGGGTCTGGGGAGGTCTCGCCCCATTCCCCGGCGCCGCGGTCCTCCTCCCGAGCAGCTCTTCGACGGTCCCGAGGCCGAGCAAGAGGGGCCCGCAGTGGCCGAGCAAAACAGCGAGAAGCCCCCCCCCCGTGTTTTTCTCGGCGGGTCGGGGGGGGGGGGTCTGGGCAGGACGGCAAAAGAGGAGGAGGAGGAGGAGGGGGAGGAGGAGGGGGTTCTGGGGGCCCGTCTCCCTCGGCCGCCCTCCCCAGCAACAGGGCAGGACCAGCTCGGCGGCGAGGTCCGAAGCCTACCCCTCGGCATCGCTCGGACGTGTGCTTTTTTTTCTCGGCGGGAACCATCGAGGACCATCCTGGACCATCGAGCCAAAAGAACCACGCGCGAAACCGAAAGATACACGGGAAATGGACGTCCGAGCGACGGCAAGGCCCTCGCCGATCCACGCGGCAGGCAGCTCGAGAGGCGGCGGGGGCAAGGGTTCGGAGTTCGTCGAGCACGCGGCGAAGTCTGAGCCCTGCCCTCGCCTCCCCTCGATTCCGGGGGATCGTGGTCGGCGGGGGTGGGGTTCGGAGGGCGCCACCTGACGAACAGCTCAAACAAGTGCACTCTCGGAGCTCCGCGCGGCTCGCCTGGAGAGTTGGGCGCCCGACGCGCCCTCCTGGCGGCGCCTTCTGGCGCCGCCCCCGGCGCGCTGCAGGGGCGTAAATCGCGGGAGTTCCCGGTCGCCTTGGATGAAGGGTGTATCGCCGAAGCGCGCCCCATGGCGCCGCCCAACAGCGCCCGGTGGCGCTCAAATAGCTCAGGACGGGGGCCGCTGGCGCCCAACAGCGCTCATGCGATGTCTGACTGGCCTGTTTTCCACCACCACCACCACCATAAGTTGGAGGGGGAGGGGGTCCTCCTCCTCCTCTTCTTCGTCCTCCTTCTCCTCGTCTTCCTCCTCCTCCCCCCTCCAACTTATGGTGGTGGTGGTGGAAAACACGCCCATCAATGTCCGCTTTGGGCGCGAGAGGGGGCGCTGTTGGGCGCCACGGGGACGTCGAAGAGTTGTCGTGAGTGGCTTTCTGGCACCGAGAGGTAGGCCCAGGGCCGCTCGAAGACATTCTCCGCGCGGACCTCTGCAGCTTGGGCCCACGATCGTCAGGATGTGTGTCGCTCGTCTTGGCGCCGCCTGCGTCATGTTCAGGGCCTCGGTGGACAATCGCCAGCAGCGCTGGCGCGCGCCCTCGGGATTATCCATCGGTGGATGCAGTTTGTGTCTCCTCTGTCCCCGCCCTCGTCCTCCCAGGTGCCGCCGCTGCTCGAGAACGGGCTGAAGCTGTTCGTGCCCAGCGGCATCGACCACCCGGACGAGCCCCGCTGGACGGCCGTCATGGCGCCCACGCGGGACCTGGGGGCGAGGGCCCCAGGACAGCCCGATCCTCAAGGGGAGGCACGGTGACCGATGCCGCTGCGCGTCGTCCTAGCGAGCCCTCGTTACCAGGGCTTTCTATGATCCCCGAGATCTTGGCCGGAACACATCCCCGAGATCCTGGCCAGAACAATCCGGACTGAGCCTTTCTAGCAGTGAGTCGCAGGTGAGGTGTATCCAATTTGACGCGAAGCTCAGGTACTTGTTTTGGATTCCATGGCGAAGGCGACTTCGCTATACGTTCTCAGTTACTCATTCTTCATAACTTGTCATGGCGTTCCATAGCTGCACATAACGTGTCAAAGTGTTTCGTGCATACTTCATACTTTCCAACGGCGTGGGATAACCGTGCCATAACGCATGGTCATATTTTTCCGTAGCGATTCGGAACTTGTCCTAACTTTTTGTTTGTTTCATCATTGCCCAACCTTCTTGCACCGCTTTTCATGATTATTGGGCGCCCATATACATATTCCTTTTGCTATATTTTTATAGTTCCAGGGGTGCGGACCCCCCCCCCTCCGTAGCCATTTTGGCTCAAGTCCGGAGTCATTGGGCTCAGGACCTGACCAGACTGGCGTGGGGGAAGTCAGCGGCCCCCAACAGTGACACCTCACGGCCAGGCCAGGTGAGGACTTTGAGGCGCGAGCTCTTTGAGCCAGCGATCACGACTTCTTTTTGGCATCATCACATACACGGCGCCCGCGAGCCATGGCAGATGAGCAGTATCGTCGCCAGCCGTGGGTGCAGCAGCAGCACACGGCTCCATGGAGGCTCGCGAGCCCGTGGGGCCGACGCCAGCCTTTCAGGAAGAAGGTGTTCTGCTCCCCGCTACCTGTTCGAGGACAGGCTGCATGCGGCCAACAGCACCTGCCTGTGCGGGGCGTGGCTGGGTAGCCAGAGAGCACCTGGGGGACAGGGCGCCACCACCAGCAGGCCAGCGGTGCAGGAGGAGCGTCGGGACGCCCGCAGGCATCGTACCTCGAGGTGGCGCTCCGAGCCATGGCTGGCGAGGACAAGGATCCAAACACCAGCCGCAAGGCGGAGGAGCTGCTGCAGCTGCTGGCGCCGAAGCAGCCATCCCCGCCACCAGAGCGCCCAGCGGCACTCTTGCAGCGGGCCAACTCACGAGTGGGCAAAGCTACGAAGGCGCTGGAGAAGGCCCGCCAGCGCTGGATCCGCACGAAGGACGAGTACCATGAGGCGCAGATGGCGCTGGAGAGGGCCACAGATGAGCTGGTGGCAGCGGAGCAGGATGAGGTGGACGCGGCCCGCCGCGTCCTGCCCGACAGGGAAGACGATGAGCAGAGCCCAGTCATCGACGTGGGCACGGCCATCAGAGACGGCATCAAGCTGCAGTTTTCGTTCGGCAAGTTGCTCGACGGTTTGGAGCTCCAGGAGGCAGATCGCAAGATCGTGGAGGAGAGGTCTGGGGCCGTCAACACTCTGCTCCAGAAGGCGATCAGGGAAGCGATGGGGGGACTCACCGCCGACCTGGAGAACATCCAGAAGGAGATGGCCGAGGTGGCCGCGCGCGGCACGAAGAAGAGGAAGACCGAGGAGCAGCCCAGTGCAGGTGTTTTTGTGCCTCCTCGTGACCTTCCTCAGCAGCATGTGGGCAGCCAGGCCCCCGCTCCAGGCAACCAGCAGCCTGTCGGAGCGGGAGGGCCAGGCGGTGCCCCAGGCGGTGTCGAGCCGCCTAGAGCTGCTGGGGACGAGATCGCTCCAGTGGTCGCCGACAAAAAGGAGGCCCTGCAGCAGGAGGTTGACGCGGAGATCCAGAGGGTACGGCAGAGAGTCCAGCAGTCGCTTTGACGGCAGCGAAACCCAGTGCAGGGACTACACGCTGTACATGAGGAACCTGTCCAGGTTCGGACCCACTGCCAAGCACCTCCTGCAGAAGCGTGAGCATGATTTCTACGTCTTGCCAGAGGTACACACGCGCCCAGAGGAGGCAGATGAGCATCTTGAGGTTGAGGCGAGAGCAGGTTATAAGCCAGTGCTGACTCCGAGCCGAGCATCGGGGAATAGTCTAAGGCCAGGCGGAGTCTCCGCAGGCTGCAGAAAGGTTTTTCAGTTTGGATCATTTCGCCATCTCTCAAGTGAGCCCAATGCCACACTGGGCATGCGCGACCTCCAGAAGGGACAACAGCCAGTCACCAGCGGAGTGGATTTTCACGATTTTGTAGGTTTCCAGACGAAAGTTTCAGGACAGGCGTTCAGCATCTTCGGAATATATCTTACCACAGGGGTGGGCTTGAGAGGCGAGAGCGCCCGCAAGCTCGCCAGCCTAGGCTCGCTGTTGCAGTCCCTTCGCACACCGTGGCTAGTCATTGGAGACTGGAGCTGTGAGCCAGAGGAACTCCAGGTAAGCGGATGGCCTCATTTGGTAGCAGGAGACATCAGAGTCGCCAGCAATGTAGAATATACGTGCACAGTCTCGCCTTGTCGCATGCTGGATTTTTTAGTATGTTCAACGTCAGCGAAGCACCTCATAAGTGAGGTTGTGGCAGACACTGAGCCCATCGCGGGAGCAGGGAAGAGCCACTACGGACTGATAGTCCGCCTGAGATTATGCATGACAGAGGCATTGCGCAGAGTTCTGAGCTTGCCTAGACCGTTCCAGCAACCACCGCCAATGAAGCGGGGTAAGAATCCAGACAGCAAGCGTTTGAGGCGAGCGGCAGCAGCATCACAGAAGAAGGGCGAAGGGAGTCACGAGACCCCAGCGCAGCAGAGGCAGCCAAGGAAAAATATTTCCTTCAAGAGCCCGCCGACGCTCGAATATCTTTGCCCAGACGATCTGGAGGAGGAGGATTTCGGAGGTTCGGACGGAGGTGGAGGTGAGGAGGGCGCTGTTGAGTCCCAGGAGAGCACAGAGCAGCCAGAGGCGGCAGGTTTCGATCACCTACTCCACCAGCTGTCGGCAGCCCAGTTAGATCAACTCTGGCACGGCAGGCAGCTAGGTTCCCATGCCACGAATAATCTTCAGCCTCCAGAGTACATCGAGCAGTCGTTATCATTCCAGTTAGATCAGAAGGCTTCCCTCACGGTAGGTGAGGAGTATGCCAGATGGGTCTCACGCATGGAGGAGTTTTTCATTCTCACCCACGCCGTGCCACCGCACAAGCGGAACGACTACCGTGGGCGGGGCAGGGCGCGAGCACTAGTTCTCAAACCCGAGGCGCAAGGGGCAGCGTTCATCTCTGCATCAGACCCAGTTGCCCATTGGTGGGCCGCAGTCGCATTCATCTTGGAAGAAATAGTCTGTTGCCTACCGAAAAAAGGTCCTAGGTTTGAATCTCTTTTGGCCAGAGTCCGAGAGCTAGCCAGCCAACTTCCTACCTCGTCCCTCATGCCTCTCTCGACTCGCCTCAGGGGTATCTGGAAGGAAGGGCCGGGGCGCTTGGACAAGGCCTCAGATGGAGAAATAACAGAGTTTAGTTTTAAGGCAAGGCATAACGCACCACGTGCCCACAGAGCGCTGCAGCACATGAATCAGCAGAGTTTTAAAGAATGGGTGCTGAAACAGGCTCTTGCTGGAGGCAGGGGTCTGTAAACTATGATCAAGCCAAAGAAGGTTTTTGTAGGAGAGGTTCGTTCGGGCGCCGCCTCTGCGCCAGACGCCATCAGCCGAATAGGACTCAAGGCAGGGGCGCGGGGCGCCAAGTGGGGGGCTGGGCGCAAGTGCACCTCATAGGCTGTTCTCCTTTGGCGAGAAGCGCAGAGGCAGGCAATCCAGAACCCACTCCCGCCACTTGAACCAGGGCACGTCCAGAAAGCTATCGCCAAAGTGCCAAGTCGAGCCAACGGGATTGATCAGTGTAACAAAAAAGAGTTTGCCTTCCTTCCGCCAGCAGCAATTCAGCAATTAACGGATCTTTATAACGCCATTGAGGCGAGAGCATGCTGGCCATGGCAGCTCATGACGGTCCTAGTCATGTTGCAAGTCAAGACACGTGAGGCCGACAGAGCAATAGGCTTGCTGCCGTGGCTCCCGCGCCTGTGGGGCAGGCTCAGACATTTTGAGAGGGCGGACTGGTGCAAAAAGCGTGCAGGACATTGGGACACAGCTGTCGCTGGGTCATCGGCGCTCAGGGTAGTTGTGTGGAGAGCTTTTCAGGACGAGCTTGCAGAACAGTCGGTCATACCAGATTTAGTGCACGCAAGCCTGATGCGGGACGTACAAGGCTTCTACGACTCCTTGTCGTGGGAGCTTGCGCTCTCCAAGGCGCTTGCTTTAGGTTTCCCAGCAATTTACTTAGCGCTCGAACTTCAGGTGCACATGTCGCCCAGGTTTTTGAGGGAAGAAGGATGTTTTTTCTGAAGCGATTCAACCCAGTCTGTCTCTCATCCCAGGCTCGACAGGAGCTGTAGACCTAGGCAGGTGTGCACTCTATTTCATTTGCGAGGAAGTGGCCAGATGCCCTCCTCCAACTCCGAGCCTCCACACCTGGGTGGACGATATCGTTCAGCGTTGCGAGGCACCGAGGCAGAGGCTTGTAGATGTACTTTTCAAGGCAGGTCAGCAGCTAGTGAAGGGTCTGCAGGCAGTCAGTCTGGCGACGGCAGATAAATCGTGCGTCATCTCATCGTGTCCCCAGGTGGCTAGTGAACTGGCCCAGCGCTTTGCAGCAGCCAACATCAGTATCCAAGTGAAATCGAATGCGCCAGATTTAGGACTAGACCGAGGCAGGATAGCAAAACGTAGACCCAAGCAGGCAGCTAGACGAGTCGCAGCAATTTTTAAGATCCGCAAGCTCTCGAGGTTTGCAAAAGGAGCACGGAAGCACAGGGAGCTGTCCAAGATAATGATTTCGGTTTCGGCTTTCGCTCAGTCGCGTTACTCGGATCAGGTGTACGGGACAGCTCCCAGCATAGTGCAGCGCTGGAGGCGAGCGATGGCCGACCTGTCGAGCAGGAAAAACACGGCCGTTGCTTGACGACCCTCCCAGCGCTAGAATACGGTACGCAGGACCCAGCAT